TCAATTATGTTTTACTTACTAGATTCCCGAGAATCGATTTCCTCCTCCAGTGTAAGCTGCATTAATTTTTGAGCCCTTAGGGATATTATTACCGTTTTTTGGTTACTTAAGCACCTTGATCAAATTTGAAGAATGATTGAACAACACAGTTTGTAAAGCAAGCGGTGCGCGACGGAGACACGACTGTTTACCGCTGCGTAGCGATGATTCATATGAGTATTGTGCGTATGTATGGAGAAACGGCTGTTTAGGTTTACCTCTAACAAAAAATCACTAGCTGCTTGTTCTATTTCATATATTTCATGATTATCGTGGTAAGGCGCTACGATCATTTACTCCACTTAAAGATTAAGCAGGGATTCTAATTATATGCAGGTAATCACAAAAACTGCAAAAATGGAGTTAGGATCGCTTACCTCTAAGGCACAGATATATACCTCGGAGCAGTAAAATCATTTTTTGCTAACATTTGTTAGCCGAGTCGATTTGATGCGAATCATATGCCAGCACATTCTCAGCACGCCGAGTACTAGCATAACGCGACCTGTCCACGCGCGTGCTTCAGTCACCAGCATAGCTAGAGACAGCTGGAGAGGGTTAGACTATAATTTTTTAGTGCAGATTGTTGTGTCGACTTATGCAATGTACATTGTTCAGCATTCGAATTCAAATATATAATTATAAGCTCTGTTCCTATTACTGAGTTTTATTTGGGAAATTTCAGTGTGAAGATTTCTTATTTTTTACACAGAAGCAGCCGCGCAGGTAGAAGCCTGAATGCCAGGGCACCGCAGCTGCTAGGTGGAGCTCAATGAAACTTTGTTAATCCGATTTAGGAACCGCCTAAGGTCAGTAGAACTGATGTAGATTGTTCCACAATCTCGATACCCTAGGCATAAAGGAGCGGTAGTATCGGCCAGTTCTGGATGTACGAAGTTCGACACGGTTAGGACGGGAGGCCAAAGTGAGGCGGCAGGGGTATTATGTGAAAACCCTAAAAAACTAAAAAAAAAAAAATGTCATCTTGCAGACTAGGTAGTGTGCAAATAGTTTGCTCGCTATGATCGCTGTTCGCTGACGTATAAGCAATACGTACAGCTTCAAAACAAGTGTACAACAGCTTGTGCTAAGTTATCATCTTGCCACGTAAATGCCACGTAATAGCCAGGCGGGTCTGTCTGGCACGCACATCGCGAGGCGGCCTCATGGAGCAGAGCTCTGAGGAGCAATGCCCATTGGTGTAGCGGTAGAAGAGAGCTAGATCGCCGACAGTCTGCCGGTGCGAAAGGGTCCCTAGACTGTCCGTAAGAGAAGAGTCAACGATCAGTCGGACAGCTCTCCTCTGAACAGCATCGAGCATGGATTATGTAGTTGGGGCGGCAGCACCCCATACATGTGAATAATATACGAGGCTAGGTCTTAACTGGGCCTTGTACAGAGGTAGTGTGGAGAAAAATACTTCTTAGCCCTAGACAGCTATTGACGAAATGTGTTCGTGCCAAATCAAGACCTCGGTGATACGGACTCCGACCAGCCGAAATGCATGAATTGGAAGAACTCGCGCCTATCCATTGAAACCTGCGCGGCGGGTTTATTACGTAAAAAATCCATATAATGTCAAAAATCCGATAAACTGTCAACTGGTTGACTAAGTAGGCTAGTTCCAAGTTTTGGGACCCTTAAACTGTACAAGATTGTTGTGTCCCTTAGCAGCGATAACCTCCAGAGAGGAAGTCGCTGTTAGTCGTCTTTTCTCCAGCTATAGGCAGAGATTGGTTTGTCACTCTGATTTCCTGAATGTAGGGTATTGTTATTGGCAAAGCTATGGATTGTGTCTCTTGCTGCTTCTGGGTGAAGCGAGCGCGTCGACAGCTCCAGATATATTGGTGCTCTCTGTGCTAGAACCTCTGCTGCTCTGCGTGCGCGTAAATTCCACTCGTCTGACAAATATTAGCCAAAGCGATCCTACTGGCCCTATAGTTTAGTAGTACGATACGATATCATACAACGCATAAAAGTTGTAAGATTCGTAATAAGTCGGCCGGATTATATTATAGAGGTGTACTTTTGATACGCTACCTACCTCAATATACCCTATATGCTGATCAGCTATAATTTATACCACTCTGTCTCCGATCATCTTGAATAGTTGTATTATTTATAGCGTACATCTATGCATCATATAATTTATTCTCAACGTTTGTTCTCAACCGGGATTCTATGGTAATAAGAGTCATATTAAGTCAAAACATGACTACATTATCGTCTATTTATAAAAAGCTTACTCTATAACAGTTGTGATGTTCTTCGAAAATTCCATAAATCGTTAGATAAAACCCACGTGCGCTTTGATATACTGAAGGATGTAAACTCGTACATTCCATCCGTACTTTAATAATAAGATCATACGGAATTTTGAATCGACTTGCGGAATATCTCACAGTAAATTGTAAATTGTAAAAAGTAAAATTTAAGCTTCTTGGAAACTGGTCATATATCAATCAGTACACACAACAACACAAACGTGTTATGAATGAGATACATTTTTGACCTTCAGCCTGCACATAAGTCGAGCCGAAAGTCTTGATCGCGCCAAAGGGCAGATCAGGTAGGGTGTCCAACTCGTAGTCTGTCATGGAGGAGCATTACAGACCCAGCATCGTATTCTACGTCATGATTCTACACTGAAAGAAAACCGCTTACCATCTATATTTTACAAAAGGTGGAAGAGCGCGGATTGACAGCTAATTGTTGTCAATCAAGCGAACCTTGCCGCTTGCTCACTGCATCAGAATTATATATTAAATTTCTGTACTTACATCAGCAATAAAAGCAATTATTAAAAACGTTAACAGTACCCCCCAGGGCTGAAAATGGATATTTTTTGGTACCAATGTTTGACACGCATCAATAGTATTCAATTGGGAATAATTTGTTTCATGTGTGCAGGACTTGCAAAGGGGAAAAGCTTACTCCGTTATCAGTTTCGCAATGCATAAATAATTTGGAACATTTTCATGTTTGGTTACTTAGAACACTAAGGATTTGCTATTTGTTTCTTTTGTGATTGCTATTTTCGTGCTTCACAGTTTCGCTGTTCGCCTAAGACACTTTAAAATTTTATAGAGGAGAATGCTTTGAAAGTTATTAAGACGTTCCCTCACACAGCTTGAAATTACATGTATAGAACACATAAAAATAAATGTTTGCTAATAAGTAATACTTACGCACCAAAGTCTTACGATTTACGATAATCAATTTACTAGGATCCGAAAAAACGTGCGATATTAAATTCGGTACCCTGCCTCCAGCAAACGGTTAGGTAAAAAGGTGCGACGTCTAGTTTGCTTCTAAATCGTTGTTGAAAAAACGTGTTTCATCATCCCATCCAGTATCTATCCTAAGCATTTCCATCCCGCACCCTGTAGGTTTGTTTATCTCGTACAAACGGTGTTTGAGGGAATCTTGACAACTTCGAACAGTATCTGTTTACCATATCAAATTAGCAGTGCAGAGGTACAGAGTACTTTTCTTAATTTCTTTTTCGGTACTATTTCAGAGGCTGATACATCGGGCATATCGCTCTAGCGGCCGTTTGACTGTTTCCGCACACAGTTCGGTTCGGTAACCTTGCGTGAAACACATTGAGAGGTATGAATAAAAACGAAGTAGATGCTTATACTACAATTTTAAGAATCTACTTCAAAGTAAATACTTCGCCATGAAGTATCCAATCAGTTCCGGTAGTATTTGCTTTACGTCGAAGTACTTACTATCGTGCCTGTAGTATCTACTTTTATTCCGAAGTAAATGCTTTAAATTGAGTAGCATCTTCTCATTTCCACAAGATTCGACAGGTCACACTTGTTGTTTTATTTTATTTGAAATATTCACATACTTGGTATTGTACGGCACGCGCGTTAAAATGTCATCCGACGAGGAAATGCCAAATCAAGAAGAGTCCCAAAATGAAGATTTGCAGTTAGCCTTTGTTACGATGTTAGAAGACTACAAAATTATTCTGGATAAAAAAATGACACCTCCCGTTAAGTCTGCCAAAGACAAAGCACTTAAAGAATTCACAGAGACGTATAACAGAAATACAAAACAAAATTTAGATGCAAAACAGGTATTAAAAAAAGTTAATAATATGAAAAGTAAAATTAAATATATTACCGATATGAAGAAAACAGGAAATAGGAAAATTAAGTTAAATGAGTGGCCAAAAAAATTTTTCAACCTATGGAATGGGAGTGAGAATCCAGTAATTCAACAAGTGCCAGGTACTGTATTATTTGATATTATATATTTTTTCTTCAAACGTCAGTAAATCATTTATTGCTTGACTTGTATGCGGCCACGAAGTTTTATTTTTCATCAGCCGGAGCTTCACTTTTTACTTTTCCGCGATTAATTTCTTGACATTTGAAGAAAAACAGCATATTTTACTTGGAGGAAAAGTTAATTTTCATGGCTGTCTAATTCAGGCTCGTCATAAAATCACTTTTCCTCCATATAAAATCATAATACTATTGTGGTGCAAAATTTTTAATTTAATAATGTTTTAGGAGGTGTAACTGCGGGCACCAGTCAAGACGTTGATACATCATTGACCGATGAAGAGAATCAAATACCTTTTTGTGATGATAAAGAATTAATGGCTAAATTACGAAAGAAATTACTACTTCAACAAATCAACACTGCCGCAGCTCAAGAAAAAGCTGCTATAGCTCAAGAAAAGGCCGCTCTAGCTGTCGAAAGGGCCGCAGGAGCTGCAGAGCAATTCGTAGAAGATTACTTTGCACGACAACAGGCGAGCTTTTGAATTCATTTGGATTCAAAAATACCTACTGATTAATATGTTTTTTTTTTGTTAAAAGAGAAATAAGGTTTATGTTTATTATTTGTATAACATGTTTATTAGGTTTAATTATTTTGTTAGAACCTTCATAAAATAAATATGTATAAAATCCAAACAATCCAAATATTTATTTACTTTTTCAACGCTGTATGTACATTAGTGTTGCAATTTCATTTCTAAACTGGATACCTCGGCGTCGGACTTCACGGTTGTTTGGTTCGGCATATAATTCAGGCATAACTGCTTCTTCCTCTATGTTCATTTCATCAAAATGTTCATCTGGATCGTTCAAAAACTTTGCACAATTATGTAAAATAAATGCACACATAATATATCGACATGTTCTATCTGTTTTAAGTCGGATTGTATAATTCAACATAGGAAATCTTGTTTTTAACTGGCCAAAGCATCTTTCTATAATCACACGTTCTCTTGCATGTATTCTGTTAAAATACTTTTGAATGTTTGTTATGGGATCTTTGAAAGGTGTAAGCATCCAAGGAGTTACACCATATCCAGAATCACCCAAAAGACAAATTCTTTTTTGATTATTATACATAATAGGGTAAATAGGACTATTGTACCATATTCTAGAATCATAAACAGACCCAGGCCAGGAAGCATCAACACTGGTAAACATTTCTCTGCTATTACATGTTGCTTGTACATTTATTGTAGAAACTCCTTTTCTGTTGATATATTCATCGCCATGTACATATGGTTTTATAATTTTCACGTGAGTGCAGTCAATGGCGCCAATGACATGAGGTATTGTATTATGTGCTGCCCATTCATCTTTAGCTCTGTTGAACATAGCTCCCGTAGCAGGGAATTTAACCCACTGATTTTTCTTGCTACAGATTTCACGTGATACCTCATCAATAATTTTTGAAACGGTTGTTTGATGAATCCCAACATCAAGTCCAACGCCTAGCTGAAATCCAGGGTCTCCTGAAATAAAGATATAAAAATTAGATTATTTATCCTATTTCATTTATTGAAACATACCTAAGCTTCTTAAAAATACTTCCATTTGTTGGATGTGTGTAAGAGCACCGCCTCGAGTTTCATTTACTTCTGGGAGAAATATATTCGCTAGGTAAGATACGTTTTCTCTACTAAACCTAAAAGAATAAACAATTTTAAAAGTAATATAAAACAATAATAATATTATTGTTAAATTACCGAAATATTTTATGATATAAAATATCATCATAGCGGCGTCTTGCATTATATATTATTCTGCTGCGTATTCCTTCCATTTTCAAAGAAAACTAAACAAAACTAACCGTAGTATTCTCTCTGAAGTTGCACTTATACCAACTTCGCAAAAGTCAAGCATATACTAAATTCCTCTTCAAATTAGTAGCATCTACTACAAGAAGTAGGTACTTTCAGTAAATACTACTTGATATAGTAAGTTCCGGTAAAACAAAAAGTATCTACTTGAAAATGTAGCTTCTTCTCAGATTTGAAGTACATACTTTGTAGAAAATGCTAATACTTGTAGTATTAGAAGGTACTTCATTTTTATTCATACCACCCATTGGCCGCAAACGTGTTTAAAGCATCCCACAAACCGGCGCGAAATATTCGCTTTGGCTGCGAAAATTTCGCGGCGATTAATTCGCGATCAGATTAAAACGCGGCGGTTTACGGACAGGCTCAGACTTGTGCGAAGCGAATGCGATTGTTCCAGCGTTTTTATCGCAGCGTATTTCAGTTCGCCTTTGACCGCGTTTTTGACGCCGTTCTTCAAAAATTCGCAATGGCAAAAACGGAATTATTGATAGACATAGTGAAAAAGTATCCTTGTTTGTATGATTTGTCGAACGATGAATACAGGAATGTGAGAAAGAAAGACAAGATTTGAATGGAAATAGGAAAAGAATTAAATACAAATGGTATGTACCTAATATTTTTTATTAACTTGTTAAATAATTTACAGTCTACACAAATGTGAAAACGAACATTCGATATATAGGGGCATAGGCATATCAGAATTAAAATAATTTACGAATTTGTCACGAGTAGAAAATGCTAGCCTTGCTGCCCGCCGAGGATCATTTGCTATATCAGTAAAAGCTCCAAGCACGGGTTCTGGGGGATCTAAGAATTGAAAATATTTGTCATCGACACTTTTACTTCGTAAAAAATTGTGTAAAACACATGCCGTACGTACAATTAGAATAGTAGTATCTACTTTAGTTTCTAATGGCCTGTAAAATATTCGCCATTTTTGAGACAAAATACCAAACGCATTTTCCACGACCCTTCTGTCTGCTTATAAGGAAATGGTCTCATAAGGTATGGTTTTAAAGCAAATGCTTCATCACCAATTAAGACGTACGAGCAGATTTCATTTTGCCCAGGAAGAAATCTAGGTGCAGGGACACTCATTAAATTTTGTTCAAATCGTTTTCCCATGTTTGAGGTTTCGAAAATACCCCCATCACTATTTTTTCCGAAACCACCAATATCAACAGATATAAATTTATAGTCCGGGCCAACAATGGCCATAAGTACTATTGAATATTTATGTAAATAGCATCAGTAATTGGAGCCACTGTTGTTAGGTCTCTTGATTGTTACATGTTTACCGTCCACGCTGCCAATGCAATTGGGAAATCCCCATCTATTTTCAAATTCTTCAGCACATTTTTCCATATATTCTCTGTTGGTTCTGGTAAATATATATGCTTCATATGTCTGCATATCGCTTCACAGACTTCGGTTACGATTGCACTCACTGTTGTAAAGCCAACTCGAAAGCTATGCCCAATGGTATAGAAGGTGTCACCAGTGGCAAGGAATCTATAAAAAAATCGTTTTTAGGTGATGAAGTAAAAAAAAGGTGGAAGATTATCAGAGACACATTTGCAAAATATATAAAATCTACTAAACCAAAGACCGGCCAAGCAGTGGGCAACATAAAAAAATGGCAGTGGGCTGACTACATGGGATTTTTCCGTCTTTTTTTGGCATTTGCCAAAACGTCGTCTAATGTGAAAGATATTGACGTCATACATTATGAGACTGCCGAATTTCACTCAAATATATATCAGAAAAGGGCTGGAAAAGTAGAAACCGAAAATTTGGAAGACCGCGGCCATGGAGAAGATGAAAATGCTGATGTAGATGCAGAAGATGCACAGAACGCCTCGGCAACACAGACAGCACCACCTTCTTCATTGAACACTACAGCAGTGACTACTCCAGGGCACACCTTTCCGCAGACTGCAACTACACCAAAATATAAAACGAGCAGAAAACGCTATGAACCACCATCTTCGTCTGTACAACAGCTCATTAATTATTTGAAGGTAAAAAACCTAAAAAAGAGAACGAGGCCATTGATTCACTTTTCTTGGCACATGCACAGACTGTGAAAACACTTCCCTTAAAGCGTCAAGCCCGAATAAAACTAAAAATAGCCGAATTAATAGCGCACGAAGAATTTGAACATATTGAAGAAATGTCTTCAGCGTCTACCCAGAATTCTGCAAGTATGTATGATAGTAGTATGTCGTCCTTCCCAAGCGGCACTGGGTTTACTCCAATAATATACCCAACAGAGGAGGCAAATTCTGCCTCGAATTATTTAGCAACATTTAATCCTAGTGGCAACATGTAGTCCAATTATTACAATAAAATATTTATTTCACGATCCCTGAAGTTTTCGTATTCGATAAGCCTACTAATTTTAATACATATAATTTTTTTACCTGAGTGTAATAGCAAGTCGTTCTTCTGGCGAAATAGCTTCACGATAATTTGTGTCAGATTTTCGTATTTCATCTTTCACCAAGTTCAATATTTCATCGAAACACTCTGGAGTCATTCTAAAATATACGTAAAAGCGCTGTTCATCCAGCCGAAGTTGTGGCATCAAGGTATGGTATTCCACAAATTTATTTCGTTCCAAGTTAATATCATGTACCCACTTCCTTCGTTTCCTAAACAGAATTGAAAATATTTGTTTTATGTACTTCGTTACTTCGTAACTTAATACATACCCAACTATCAAATGGCGTTAAATAAACATAACTTACCGTGCATTTTGTTCCTCTTCTAAAGCAAGAAATAGAAGTGCCTCCTCTTCTTCTGAAGACGAGCTCATTGCAAAAGGCAAAAATAAAATGTACGCAACCTGTCAAAACCTTCACGTTCGCGGAGCGAATAAGACGCTTTGGTATGAATAAACAGGCGAAACAGATTGCGAATTTCGCTCTGAATTTCGTTGCGAATACTTCGCCGCGATTATTTCGCGCCGGTTTGTGGGATGCTTAATACTAGTCGTAACAGTCACATTTGCCTTGATCGCTTTGGTTGCAACAATTTTAGTACTCCATAGAAATGTAAAAAATATGAAAAAATAGTAATACCTGGACGTATTTCGACAGTATTTCCTATCAACAGACTGATGAATTTGATAGTGTAATTTGTGTCCTATGCAAAAAACATATCCCTGGGCGGCAGAAAGACATGAAATTTGTTACCTAATTTTCAAGATGATAGCAGTGGATAACCAACAATTTTCTCTCACCTGCTGATATTGATTTCACTTGTTTACTGAAAAAAGCTTACTATGGCCAGATAAGTATCTCTGTCTGGGGCAGGCAAACCAGCTCCGGAAAAAAGGACGTTATCCCTACACAACGATAAGCGAGCGACCAGATATGTCACCCTCGTCCATCGTCCCGAAGACGCCTAAATCTCTCAAAAAAAAAACGTGAGGATTGCAGAACAATCAACCGGTGTGTTACGACACCATTTCTGGGTGTGGTGTTTCTATGTATTGTATTTTTTAGTTCAATATAATATAAATATTAACTCAATTTGCATCGGCCGACCTACTCGTCTATGGGCATATGAGCCGGTACATATATCGGCAAGGTGGGCCGAAATTGTCGATATGCCGGTATATACATACATCGGTATCGGGTGATACCTAAAACAAACTTTCGGAATACCCTGTATATATTTATTAATGCTGCTCCTGGATATAGATGAATATTATGAATATTTGCAATAGGACACGGCCGCACTACCAAATAGTAAACAAATACCACTTTCTTCAACCTCGGACGAAACGTTGGATTCAATGCAACTTTATGGATCCTCTTCTGAATATTTATATTAGTTCTTGGTCTTGCCCATTGTTTATTCTCTATTACAGTCACTGATAACCTCATCCGTTCTTTATTTAAACTGCTGAGTTATTACTATTGATCGGCTGATAGTGCGTGAACTGCATGTAAATTTGCATCTATCTGAAGGATAAGTGAACCATTGCGATTCGACATAAAATTGTACGAAAATGGAAAAAAAATCATAGAAATTAGGTAGTTTTTTCATGCACTCACCAAACTTAATTAAACAGACTCAGTACATACGCCCGAGCGGCGATTTTTTTATTTGTTAACGGCTCTCGAAAAAAAGCTGCAAATATTTTATCACCCACGCTACTTTAATGGTATAGAGTATGGAGTATTTAGAAGCTTTGCTTCATTTTTATTTCCCCTAATTCCAAACAAATTTACCAATTTCTGGGTTCAGAAAAAAATAGATGTAACCATCTGTACATTTTTTAATTTTCAGATTCTACCTCTCGGTGCTTAATAGTGTAAGAAAATATTGAAACATAAGAATGCATGAGTCAGAAGGCATAAAAATCTCATTTATTCAAATTTATTTTAAACACTTTTCATGTAATCTGTTCTACTATTATTCGTCATTCGAAAAAATGAAGTTTTATCAACAAAAAAAAATACCTGCAGTCAAGCAGCCGGAACTCGTACTATAACCACAGCTTAGATAACAATCAACTATGAAACTCTCCTGTCACTGTCAAAAATGGCCGCCATTTAAGAGGCGAAACTCGAATGTAAATTCCCCCAGTACAACGAAGAAAGACGTTTTAGTGCTCAGCAGCAGCCGGTATTGCCACGTACCCTGCCAGTGGCCGCAGATGTTATTTGCAATAGAAAAAATATACTATTCCTATATGATCTGGTGCAGATTGTGTGAACCCATCATATATGTAATAATATGTTTGTTCAAAAAGAACACGAAAAAAGGTTAAAAATGAATTCGTATTGGTTGAAGTATTTACAATAACCAGAAAAATTTTTACTTTTGCCATGCATTCTTTGCTGCTGCGATATTCTCAATTCATTCCACTTTCAATGTAAACACTGTTGAAACACCGCAATCAAATCGGATACTTCTTGCTGTCTGTAGTTCCTATACTTTAAATACCCAGAAAAGTTATAAAAATTGTAGGCAAGTAGGTATACGTTGCTTACTGGGAAAGTATTCCTCTCTTCACAACGTCATTCATAATTACATGACAACACATACGTTTTTTAAATGAATTTGTTTAGAATGAGCGAAGGATAAAAAATATTTGTGCAAAATGGTTTAGTTTTACTGATAAATAATGTTTATTAAATCTCTTATTTAAATGTTCATG